AGTACTTCAGGGTAGGAAAGCAAGGACTGGAACTGGACTATTCCTGTCCTTGAATATTCATGTGTTGTAACTCCAAAATGAAAGTTTTACCATCAGTGAAATATTCTGTTACTCTGTTGGACTCCTTTATATTGCACCTCTCTGTACAGACTGGTATGTGCCGTTCAGTGTATAAAATCAGTTCTGCATTATAGCTGGTGGTGACTGAAAGATTGTCCATTCTCTGGAGTCAGTGTGAATAGAGTCTGTGTTGTATTTGTTTGCTAATGGAAAATTCACCAAAAGAATAATTTTTCTTTTTTTTTTTTTCTTTTCCAACTTGGAAACACAAGTTGTTTTTTTCGAGGCTGACAGTCAGCTGGGTGAAATCAGTGCTGGAAATAAGTGCCTGGCAAAACAGTTCTGTGCAATATTAATGCATTTAGGAAAACCACTGGAAACAAAATGTTTATTGCCTCAGAAAGTGTGTGTTTATATACAGCCGTAAGTGGTTCGTCTTAGTCTGTACACGTGACAGTTGTTTTTAATTTTGTGCTATCTAGAGAGATGCAGTAAGAGTCACTAATTTGAAAAATGGCATTTTTAACCTGAGTGATTGAAATCCAGATAAGTTAGTTATAGGAAGAATAGAGGGGCTATTTTTGTGGAAAAGCTGAGCCATGTTGTATATTAAATACTAATGATGATATTTTGATGCCTTGAAAAAATAACTCATCTTCCACGTCAGGATTGCCGTGGTTCTGCTACGGCGCTTGCCTGTCTGGCTCTGCAGAGAGGATGGAATGAAATTTCACGCTCATGTTTTAGATAATGTTAGAAGGACTTTGAGGAAGTGGCTGTGCAAAATTATTGTTCCTTTTTTCTCTTGGGGCACCTATGCTGCCTGGATGCTCGAGTGGCAGTTTGTAGATCTTCAGTATCTTCTGGGCAGTCTCTGAAGTGCAATGGAGTTGGAGTATTGCTTGTCCTTTCTTTGCTAAAGCACTGAGTTCCCTACCACCAGGGGAATGCAAGAGCATAGATACCCTCTCTTCCCCGTTCACAACACATGGAGAAAAAGTTTTTAGAAATTGTGCTCATCTAAGACAGGAGACTCTTGCACCATGAGAAGCAACCCAACTCCACTTGAAAAAATAATTCTCTTTAAAATTGCAATAACCAGAACGGAGCCTGTACAATGACTCTGCCAAACACAGGTGAATGAAATCAATATCTGAATCTTCACTAAAGTCTATATAAACTTTCTCAGAGATTTTTTCCCTACCTAGATGTTCTTTAAAAACTTCCCCTACAAAGCTCCAACTTCCATCCCAGCATCACCACTTCTGCCTCCCTGCATTCAGTAGAACTGTCAAAAACCACTGAGTCTCCTGTTCCCTTGCAGGTGGTGGATGGTTCTCTCACAACTTTATTGTGGCACCTGAGAAGTTGGTGGGTCGGTTAATTGTAATCGTGCCCGTGAGTGTGCTGAGTTGTGTGGAGCTGAGCTGAGCTGAGCTGAGCTGAGCTGAGCTGAGCTGAGTGGAGTTGACGGGCAATGGGAGACGTGTGGTTGTGAAGTCCCGTGGGAAGGACTTCCAGTACGTGGCAGAGGAGGGAGTTTGCATTAAATTGCAGACGTGATGAGGACTGTTGGCATCTACATCTCCTCAAGGAGGAACCACTGCATTAAACGTAAAGCTACTGTAAAAGAAATGTCTCCTGTCCTTAGGAGGCTTTGTGAAAAACTGCACTAAGTCTCCTGAAAATAAATTGACTTTGATTGTAGTATTTGTTTTTATATTTCTTCTGTATGTTCAGGTTCCTTTTCGATATAAATAGTTGTGCATCCTAAGCAGTTGGATCCGTATTCATATATTTTTCCTTGTCTGAGACCTGCTATCTGATTGAAACCAATATTTTTTAATTATGTATTTATAGGCAGATGAGAGAATAGTTTGCAGTCAATGTATGATCTTCTCTGCAAATCTTGGAAAATTGTGTTGGTTTTTTTTTTTAATATTGCCTTATCGGTTTCTTTTTTATATTACTGATGACTTCATTCTGTTTGAATTCAATGCTTCAGTTTCTTTGGGGTAAACTAATAGATTATGTATGCGATATTTGCACAGTGCTGATTGAATTCATCTGGTGAGTTTGAATGTGGTTCATATATTCACATAATTGTCGGGAGCCAACTTGAAATTCAGAACTGTTTCATGATCATTGCATAGGGCATCATATTCATCTCACGTTACTCAGGAGTGGGTAAAACTTTCATGGTGAGCTGCATGCGCAGCTCCTTCAGAAGCCAATCTATCTTCTCTATTTGTGCCTGTAAACTGCGATGGAAGGGAAAAAAGAAAAGTTGTTGCATCTTAAGCTTTCTCCTAAGAAAATGAAGCTGCTGTTGTAGTGATGGTCCCCCCCCCACACACAAACCTTTCTAACAGCTAAACGTACAGGCCAGTGTTGATCAGATTTGACAGATGTGTCGTGAACTCAGTCACATTATCGGACACCAGAGAATCCACATGAGAGGCACAGAGATTCCAACTTTGTGGAGCTGCGTGTTTCCGCAGAGATGATGCTTGTGTTTTCACACTAATCCCGATGGATACGTTTCCATTTGGTGCCATCTTTCATTCAAACGATCCTGCTCATTCTCGTGGGTAGATTTTGTACTTTAATACGGCCATGGCAGAGATTTGCCAAAGAAAAAGCTGTCAAGGCTGGACTTCTAATATCTGTATGATCCATCTCCACTTGCTGGCTGGGCTTCAGCAGAAGGAGGCTCACCTAGAGGAGATTTGCAGCAAATGGTGCCCAGGCTGCTTTCGCTGCTTCTTGCAGTGTTTGACACTCTGCTGGAATGAATGAATGAATCTCAAGTTTCCTACAAAAAAAATACCCTTTATGCTATTTTCAGATTACCTCTTCAGCCAAAAAATACTTGGAGGTGAAAAGGGAATATGTGGCAATCAGACCACTGGTCAGAGGTGTTAATACAGTTTGCAGAGAGCTGCAGGGAGCCAGAGCAGCTTGACTCAAACCAGACATTGCCCATGTTTCCTTGTTTCCCCCTCTTGGCTTCTGCTGCTTTGGAAATAAGGATGTTGGCCAAGCAGAAAGGACGACAGCGTTGCCCTTTGGGCCTCTTCTGCATGGTGGCAGCCCTAGCTGAACCCTTGATTTTCCCTAGACACAGGTACAGTGAGGAGCTTTCACGGGCATCGTGTCACTCGTGCGTTGTGGTCCAGAGTTTGCTGTCCGGAGCGCCATCCCCACAGTCCCCATCCCAGTGTCCTGTAGGCTGGAGAGATTCTCCACCAGTGAACGAGATTGCACACGTGGAGTTGTTCACCTGCAAGGACAAGGACTGTGGGAAGAGTCAGGAGGAATAAAGGGGAAACGTGCTTTTTTATTTAACAGGCCGCAGTATTTGCACAAGCTTTCTGCACCGTCTTGGCAGATGATGAGAAAAATCTTCCTGTGCTGGGAAGTGCCGGGTAAGTCAGCCAAAGAAGCTGGAGACCTCGGGGCTCTGTGGAGGAGAGGGGCCCGGACCGCTTTGGAGCCAGGGAAGCGAGTCATTCCAGTGTTTGTTTCTCATGGAAACATCCTGGTGCTGCAGGCAAATGTTCCCAGCGCTGGCTACGTGCTTCATTACTTGAAATCTCTCTTCACTGGAAATTAATTTCCAACCTAATTTAGCCACCAATCTAGATGGTCGTTAGATCCTAGAAACTGTTTATTATTGAACTGATGGGTTTATGTCCAGTCTTTTATATGTGCTCTATAAATTCAGTTTGTTATGAAAAAATCCTGTAAACAGCTTCCATAGGGTCTGGCAAACACAGGGGAAGGTGTTATGACAGGAAGCTCCATGGGAGGTGGTTAAATCGAAGGTGGTTAAACCATGGGGTTAAATCTGTCCTGCTGCAGCCCGTTTCAGAGGGGCAGAGTTAGGGTTGCAGGGGAAGGGAGTTTGTGGGGAAGTGCTGCAGTAACCAGATTTTGTTGGTGTAGGCTTAGTTATACATAAATCTCCTGTGAATACTGGTGAACACTAGTGAGCCACTCAGTCAGTGTCTGCCCCAGGCTAGAAATAGCTATGGGAGGCTTCTGGTTTATCCATTTTCCATGTGGCTGTAGTTTCTGAAGTTTTATCCTTGGGAATTTGGGGGTTGCGATGAGGATACTTAAACCTTCCAGGTACTGCATGAGTTTCCACAGTTGTGTAAGCCCATCCATAAGGTTTTGGAGGAGTTACAGGGCTCACAGCCCGCAAAGACACCCCCACGTTTAGCTCGGCAAACCGAGCAAGCCCAGTGGCCTTCCCAAGGCAGATGGAAGCGCATGCGGTTCAGGACACAAGCAAGTCTTTGTTGGATTACTGCCTAATTACCACTTAAAAAATGCTGTCGAGATGTGATGGTGTGCTTTTCCATCGCCGCTGTGTTTTCATGGCTGATGTTTTAGTTCTTTGCAAAACTGGGAGGGAGGTTGTCTCTTATGAGATAAAACCTTTTCTGTGCTTCTTTGTGAATAAAGTCTATTCTTTACCTTGAGAAAATGTAATTTTAGGGAAATTCCACATTTAGCGTGGGAGCAAAAGGAAACGTTTTTCTGGCAGCTTATCATCATCATCATCATTATTATTAAAATATGATAGCCATTTATAGTTGCTCATAGGAATGTTAAAAGTTTCCTTGTGCTCCCCCATCTGTCTGCATCCATCTGTTGTCTCTTGTCGTGTACTGGAATTGTAAGTTCTTTGGACAGGGACAGTCTTTTCTAGAAATGGGGATCAAGTTCACATTTAGGAGCTTTATTAACAGGAGAATGCAAAAATAGGGGTGGTGTGAGCTACCCTGAGGGTCAGGGTTCAGGTACAGGCAGAGGTTCACGTGCATCTCGCAGGTGCGAGTATTCCACGTGTGGGCATCTGGCGCAGGTTTAAGATGTGTGTGTGCAGATGAGTTCTACTGAGCTGTCTTTTTCTTCCCTTTTCCCCGTAGCGTCTGTCCAGGTGGCGTGAACGCTGACCGCATCCAGAGGCTGCGGAAGGAGTACCAGCAGGCCCGGCGGGAGGGCCTGCCTTTCTACGAGGATGACGAGGGGCGAGCGCAGCCGCCGGACTACGAGCAGCGCTGGGTAGGTCCCGGCATGAGGCCGAGCGCTGCCGCCGCGTCCCGGCCCTGCAGCCGTTGTTGTGTCAACTCCACATGGGTTTGGGCTTGGTAGAAATGAGGAAATCTTTCAATGCCACTCCAAGAAAGAATCCGTACATATCCTGTAAACCTGGCTAAAAATAACATGGCTATTCACTGTATTGATTTAGGCCCAGGTTTCCTCTTTCCCAGGGGAGGCCCCAGATATGCAGTCCTAGCCAGACTTATGGTACTCTCTTAGTTCATCCAGCGATTCCCTCTGGGTTTAATGAGAGCATTAAAAGAACAGACTCTCACTGTGCTCTGCTGTAAAGTGAGAGGGAGGAAATGTAAGCATGTCTGCCCCTGCCCTTCCTTCTGCGCACAAGCCAATAGCAATCTGGCCAGGATACATCCTCAGTCACTTTTATGAAGTGAAAAATGGAATATTTTGCTCTTCTTCCATTAAAGGATCTTAAAATATTTTCCCAATGGTAAGGAACTGTTAGAGATGCCCTGTATTCCCTATTGTATATGTAGGAGTCACAGGACAGAGAGACGTATAATTCTTGGGTAATCTATGGTGGAACCAGTGATAAAATCAAGAGCATCTGATTTTTAAATGTGTTAAATGCAACAGCTATAGCCTGTAGGATCCAAGTGAAGCACTTAGGAGCTCCACCTCCTCAATACTTCAGGACTGGGCTCTGTCTCCTTAGGAGTCAATATAATCAACGAGCATTCAAAAATGTAACTCTTTGACATGATGCCATATATGCTATATTTTAAAATTTACTTAGAACAGATAGTCTTGTGTTACAATCTTTAGAATTAAAATAGATTTGAGGTTTGTACTAACATCACTGTTGTTTTTAATGCCCCCAAAGCTATCAGTGCACATGATGAGGTGAAGTCTTTAGCAGTTGGGCTGATAGTCAAAAATACTTCACATGAGACTAGACTTTATTGCAGCCACAGAAAGATACAGTTTAAAATGATGCTTTTACATAAATTAACATATATATTTGTTTGTTAACCGCTCAGTATTTCAATATTTTGTATATATTGCTCTCAAAAATATCACCTTCAGCAAAATAATTAACTTCAGCAAAGTTACCCTTAATGTACTGTTGCAAACTCAAATGAGAATATGCAGCAAATGTTCTGTCTCTCAAAACCCTGTGGCAGGACACCAAACCTGCCCAGGGCTCTTCAGCAACCTGAGGGCTTCCACTTCTTATCTGAAACTGAGAGCGCTTCATTAAGCCTCAAAGGATGTTCCCATTTGTGGTCCAGTGTAGTTTCCTAAGATTCACAAAAGGCTCCTTGTAGCTAATCCCTTTTAAGCCTTTTCTATTAGGTATAATGCCCAGAGATTACTGATTTCCAAAGCTTTGCTTTTCCTATGAGGTAAGTTGTTCTTAATCAGAGCACCTGAAAGAGAGCTTTGAATCAGTCTGTCTTGAACTGATTAATAGGAGGATTTTAGGAGAGCACCAGGATTGTTTCAGTTTTTCCTTCAAACACAGAATATTTTAAAACATTTCTGTTGAGAGCAGCAGCAATCTGCTTTAAACTCCGAATCTATCTTAAGGGCTGTTTTACTTGGAGGCTTGTTGCTGCAGTAGTTCCTCCCGTTGAAGTGCCTTGCAGATTTCAAAGACTTGTGGTCTCTCACTGCAACAAAATCGTGGTTCGTCCAGCCTTGCTTTGGTTTGGACAGCAGTGAGGCCACAGCTCGCTCTCTTTTGGCTCCTGTCTGGAAGTTCTTGAACTTTACTCCGACATGTGGTTTTACTTTTAAAATATATATGTTACATGCATATATTCAAAGGAAGAAGAAACAAAAATAGAATCAAAATATTAAAAAGAAAACAAATGTCTCTAAAACATCTTGCCAGGACAGTCCTCCAGACATTTTGTAACTAATATCATGTTTCCCACCTCAGACTGCTGACCCTTAGCAGTACTGTGGTCACACAGCTTGAACAACAACTGATTTTCTCCACCTTTACTCATCAGTGAAGAGACATGCTGATGACTAATTGCACAGTTGTAAATAAGTAAAAGCTAGTTCTAGTCTCTAGGATGTCAGGTCTCTCTTTAAAGAGCTAGCAGACAGCTGAGGAGGAGGAAAACCTTCTGGTTTGAGCGTTCTTCCTTCCCACAGAAGGTTATGTCACCAGGGAAGCTGCAGCTGGAAAGGAGATGCTGCGTCTCCCTATGTATTTTTAATACTCGATTAGTTCTTCCTATGCTTTTGTCAGTCAGCTGTTTTACCTAAGCCAGCTTTGCTTTAAGATGTCTTTCTAATGTACAGCAGCTGCTGTAATCACTACCCACCATCTCATGAAACGTGTAGATAAGTTGGGAAACAGCAGAGGATAATTTGAGAAGACACTATCCATGGCAAATCAACAGCCCCAGAAATGGGCCCTGGGTCTGGTCCTCCAGAAGAGTGTCTGAGAACTCACAAGGCACATTTCTATCTGATAAAGCTGACATTGACAAGTGGCCTTTAGCTGACACTGTAATGGGACAGAATTTCTAATAGAAGGGGGTATTTCTAACGAGCTACTTTTTTTTTAAAGTGGGATAAATCAAGTTAAAGTGCAGAGCCGACTGAAAAGCCAGTATTGTAAGGGAAAATGATCTCATGACAGGCAATTGGGATCCATAAATGTTTTAAAAATAAGGTCAAAAATTCATTTCAAATAAGCCTGCTATTCTCTCATCATCCATTCCTCCCCCTCATCCATTTCCAGTTCTCCTCTGTTCTTCTCATCTGTTGGTGGATGACTTTTTGCTCTCTTGCACCTTCCTTTTTGTAAGCAGTAGCTGAACAATTCAGCTTAGTGCTTCTCTGTAAACAGACACGTGCTTATGGCACTGTCTGTGCTAAGTAGCCAGAGACTTTGAAAATCTCTCCCGTTTTCTCTGTGTTTTGGGTTATTGTTGAGTTTTTTATCTTTTGGACCTCTCCCATCCCCCTCAGTGTATAAATGAGATAAATGATAAGCCACATTCGATATGGTAGATCACAAGGCTTAAAGCAAACCTCAGCCAGACCTAGTTAGCCAAAGGACAGGCTGGTGATAAGCATAAATATTGTCCGGAAAAAAAGAGTACCTGTTGTTGTCAGTATAACGTGAGATTACTGTGAAATGTTCTGACAGCCAGAACGTCTACAGGGAGGTATCAGCTCTCAGGACAGAGCTGAGGCATGTGCATACATAGCCATGTCTTAGTAGGGCGTCAGCTAGATAGTGAGAGCACTCATGAAATTATTCTATAGAAACTTAATGCTAAGGGCATTGGGGTGCACCAAAGAGTTGTAATATGTTTATATAGTATTATCATGTGCAGCAGTATTAGTCAAGCCTCGAGAGAACTATGTAAGCAATAAGCCACAGCAACTTAAACAGTCTCCTTAGGAGCTGGAGGGCTTTCGCATGAGGCCCTCCCAGGGCTCCTGAGTCACGGGCTAATAAAAGATCATGAGAAAGCGATGAGGAGTTGTCAAGTCAAGCCGTAAAGTTAGCATGTGCGTCCATGTGTGTGTTTGTGCACTTGTATTTAAGGACTTTTAAATAATGAGGAGTTAATCGTCTATTTGAGGATTTGCTTGGATTATTTTACGGATTTGTGCAAATCCAGTTTACTTAAAACATCAATTCTTTCCGACAGGGTGGCAGTAAATTCTTGTTGAAACTTTATCTTTTTTATGTACGTTCAAGGACTGCATGTAACCCAGGCCACACTGCGGCTGGTGCTTCACCTGTCAGCAGCCATGTCAGCTTCACTGGATCTTATACCCAACCTCATGTTAAATCCTTCTAGGAGCTGTTTTCTTTCACGTTTCCAAATCAGATAAGTAGGTTGATAAATAACCCTAAGATATAAGGAGTTCTGTCTCTGGATGTTAGCTATGAACCTTTTGATTGAGGCAAATCTGTAATGCATTGAGTTTTGCTCATTCCCAGTTAGGAGTGTGGAAGAAGAATCATGCCTGGCTATGTTAAAGGCCAAGTAGTTTATTGTGTGCCTGGCAGGGGTCCAAGCCTAAAAATCAAACAGAAAAGAAAAGGAGCGTTAAGAACTGCATTATTTTTCCATAATGTGTCAAAGGGTTTCTTCTATACTTGCTGCAGAATGAATAAGGAGCTGTTTGTGCTTTTCGTGATCAATTAATTCCAGGTTCAGGATGTTGCCTTTCAAATAGGTTAGGTTCCCAAAATGCAGAGACGTTTATGTTGGACTACGGTTAGAAACCAAAACCGAAATTCCAACTTCTAGAATAATAACATTCCTCTCTTCTAGCGCAATGGGAGAAATGACAATTGTATGTACTATGTAAAACCATATAGCAGAAACTGCTATAAATTCCAGACTTTCTGAAAGCCCATGGACTATTAGTCAGTAGAAAACATTGAATTAAAAAAAAAAAAAAAAGGATGAATTACATGGAGGATAGCAGCTTTGAAAACTGTGGGTCAGAAATATTTTCGTGTATGTGTTATTAAAGCATATTAATTAAGAGAGGATGTAAAATATTTTATTAGGATGTATGATTAAGTCAGCAATCAAGAACTCTTTATGGTCACTACATCTCTCTGCGCAGGGAGGGTTTCAGCTCAGGGTATGTTCTGAAAGCTGTTCCAGCAACACAGAGAGCCTGAAATTTGCAGGCTGGCTTTGGGGGTAGGTTTGGGGGAAAAACTGTTATGTAGAAATCCCTGCCAAACCTCATGTGAAAAATAAACTATTCCAAATGGCACATGCAAGGAGAGCCAAATGCAATTCCATTAATACTAGTAATACAGAGTGACTCTTATAACTTGTTTGGAGTCATTCCTATTTACACAAAGGTTACATTTGGCACAGACTATCTGAAGCAGAGGGGAGTCTGAAATGCTCATGTCTTCATGCTCACACTATGTGCGCGCTCCTCTCTGCCGAGGGGAGTGGTGCTGGTGCCATATGTCATCTTAGCAAAGCCCACGG